TCGATTGGATTCACAAAGACAACAACCTTGATTGTGTTGTGAATTGTATACTATATATATATAAACATTAAAGAATATTAAACATACATATTCAATAAGAGAACAGAGCACACTGATTTGTTTACTTTTTTTTCAGTTGTTTTCTTTTATGCACCAAGCTCCATATTGAGGGTTTTACTGAAAGTCTGAAGCACATTTATATAAGGGCTTTGCTTGGAGGACTAATTTATTCATGTAACAAAACCGTTTGCATTTTAAAATTTGACATATATAAAAGATTTAGGGGTTTAATATTTATCTCTAATAGTAATTCTATTTGCTTTAGGTCAGTGTTTCTATATATGTGTATCTTCAAGTATTTGCTTTAGGTCAGTGTTTGTATAGCAATAATATGATTTTTTCAATCATTTTGAAAGCAACTGTAGTATTACAGTCTACTGGAGATTTTATAACGGTATAGATAACCATACTCGATTCCTGACCTAACAAAAAAAAACAACATTTAAAAGGCAATGCACTCTCCAAAATCCATGAAACTAGGGGGTCATTCATTTGTTGACAAAAAAAAGGGGGGGGGGGCGGAGGGGGGGTCATTCATTTTTTTGGTTGATTCATTTTCATTTATGCTGTTGCGTTGACCCACCGATAAAGCAACGACCTTCTCATTATACAAAAACAAACCCAATTTCATCATCTTTTGTTTTGTTCATAAGCAAGAGCCACCAAACACTTATAAATTTATAATGAAAACCATTTTATTCTCCACCGTTTTTAATAAAATCATGGGACTCCACCATCATGACTTTCACATCCAAAGACGTGAGCCACACGCAACACAAGCCAATCCTCTCTAAGACCATCTCCAATGGTTACCTTTATTTTTGTCTCTAAAATAAAGGAATTCTAAAATAGAGGTATATTTGTCTCCAATGGTTACCTCTATTTTTCCCTCTAAAAAGGAATATTTTCAGTATATTCTTTTTTTTAATTGTTCTTAACACCTTTTATTGATAAAATTTATGAATGAACCCCACTTATTTTTTTTTACAAAAATTTACAGAAATTATAATAATACTAATTTGATAAATAAAATTTGTGAATTAATCTTTTATTGTACTTTTTATAAAAGTTTTCATAAATTATAATAATACTAACCTTTGACTACTAAAATTTTTAAATTAATCCCACTTATGTTACTTTTTTATGAAAGTTTCAACATATTATAATAGTATTAGAAGTAAAAATTCATAAATTAAATTGATGTTATTTTTCATTTATTTTTATATATTTTTAATTTGTAATTATCTTTTTTAGTTTAATTTGCAATGAGAATTTTTATATTTAATAATATCATATGTTTTTAATTTTTTTTAAAACTATAACCAAAATTATCACATTTATATTCATAAAAAAAATTATACTTTTTACATAAATAAAAATATTTAAAAGTTAAAGGACTGTTTTATAAATAAAAAAGTTCACCTCTATTATAGAGGGAAAAAATAGAGTCCCTCTATATTTGGAGGAAAAATAGCAATCTCTATTTTAGAGGTGAAAATAGAGATGGATTGGAATATAATTTCTATTTTTATCTCTAAAATAGAGGTGGGTTGGAGATGCCCTAAGCTTATTATACACATCAAAACAAAACAAAAAGCCAAATGCGAAAAAGGATCACACAACAACATCACAAATTAAGATTCAAGACAATGAGAGTGAAAGCAACTTTGATCAACTTCAAATCAAAACTTTCCAAATCATGCAACAGATTTGTCTCTCTCTTCCACTTCAGAGTTAAAAGACCTATCTTTATTAGACCTCTTCGTCGTGCTCGTCATGGCAATGTCAAACCGAACCACTCTGTTCTTCTTCCTCTTTGTTGTCTTATCTCTGTTATCTCAGCTCAGGGGAGCTTTCAAGAGCTGGAAACAAGCAGTGAGAGGTATTGGGCTTATCTAAACCCAAAGGTATGGCTTTGGGTTTAGACTGTTTGGTCATGTCTTTGAACTTGTGAAACCATGCATTTAGGATCATTTCGGAAATTCTGAACTTGTGATTCCCCATCTCATCTCTCACTCTTCACAAGATTTTATAACGTTCTCCTATATCTCTTTTTTGTTTCCGTAGATAAATAAAAGCAGAAGAAGCAGAGTCGCTATTGTGATAGATAAAGAAGAAGCTCAAGATTAGAATGCATGACAGTGAGAGAAAATTGGGGGCCCCAATTCAGAGAAAGCTAAAAAAATGACTTTTGATTGTATCATCATCACCAGCACTCAGCATGAAGTACTTGAGATATCACATTTACACGCTTAAGTTAGCTTTTGATTAATGTTTTTTTTTTGTTTTAATCACATTAATTAATTTGCTAAATCATTAATTATAGAAAACTAAAAATAAAAGAGTAAAAATATACTAATGTTTTACTAGTATAATATGGTTATTATTTTACAAAAAAAAAAAATCACAAAGGAAACCACAATGAAAAAGAAAGAGAAAAAAAGCCAAAAATCTATGCATTTTTTATGTTCAGTAACAAACGTTACCAAGCGGACATTTTTACAAGCCATCTCCTAAACCAATCACTTTACAAGCCATCTCTTAAACCAACGTTACCAAGCGGACATTTTTATGTTCTGTAACAAAATCAGTTTTAGCCTTTTAGGGAATCCATTAAAAGCTTTTTTTTAAGTAATTATTGACCAAATGGCAATGGCAATAAAAGAAAACGCAGCTTTTTTCTTCTGAAGAAGCTTTTTGACTAAAAACATGAAAACGTTCGCACCATTTGCAGCCTTAGTAAATGAACAAATCAAAATTTAAAATAAAAAAGATCAACGTTCAGCTAAAACTTTTACATATCTTGGTTAGTGCATATGATAGTGAAATAATATAGTGTAATTTCCTTTCGATACTTCTTTGAATTTTGTAAAGCCTGAACCTTATCTTATGTTTTTAAGTTGTTCTTCTCTCGAACTTAGTATAAATATTGAGGTGATCAAATGTTTAAATCAAGAACAAACTTTGTTTATAAGAATAACTCTCTTATTATGTTTAGAAAATCTTTCAAAACTAAAACATCAAAACATGTATCTCTCTTCATCAATGACTTACATATATGTATATAGTGTCTTGCACAACTTTGCTAAGCCACTTTCCTTTACCTATTAGAACTAGATATCTCTTTATCCAATAAGGAATATTACCAAAACCCTAATTATCTACTTAACCAACTTGTTAATAGTATTAGGCCTTGGCTTAATGTCGATACTTACTCAACATTCTCCCTCTTAAGCTTCAACTTGATCTTGGACATGTCTTAGACTCCTATCAAGCTTCTCATTTCACTGAACTTAATCTTTATCAGAGCTTTAGTAAGAATTTCAACCTTCTGCTCAACTCCCGGCACATGCTCCACGTCGACTAACTCCTTCTCATTTCAATCTCGTATAAAATGGTAGTGTTTATGAATATGTTTGCTCTTACCATGAAATACGGGGTTCTTTGTGAGTGCCATTGCAGACTTGTTATCGACCTTGATGACAATATGCTTGATTTTCCACCCTGTGATCTCGTTCAAAAGATCTTGAAGCCAAATAGCTTGTTTAGCCGCCTCTGTTGCTGCCATGAACTCAGCTTCAAACAAAGACAGAGCCATTGTTTCCTGTTTCTGCGAAAACCAAGTGATTGGTGAGGATCCAAAGTAAAATAAATGTCCTGTGGTGCTTCTTCCATCATCCGGATCCACATTGTGACAGTTGTCACTAAAACCAACGATCTTCTTTGTTCCTCCATGACAGAACTTCAAGCCAAACGTGATTGTCCCTTTAAGATACCGTTGTATGTGCTTCATGATGTTGCCATGTGACTTGCAAGGACTCTCGATATATCTGCTAGCAACTCCAACAGAAAACGCTAAGTCTGGCCGTGTATGCAACAAGTACCTTAAGCACCTTACATTCATTCTATAACACGTAGGATCTATCTCTTCTTCTTCTTGAGTCTTTGAAACCTCTAATCCGAATTCCATGGGAATTAGTGTTGGATTGCAGGTCTCTAAGCCTTCTTGTTTGATTTTGATTCCATCCTTCCCTTGATGAACTTCGATACCAAGGTAATAAGTTAGTTTTCCAAGGTCTAACATGTCAAACTTTGTAGCCATTCCTCTCTTGAACTCACTTATGACCTTAAGAGTATTGCCTGTGACAAACAAATCATCCACATAAATAGCAACAATCAGTAATGATTCTTCCTCTTCTATGCGATACACTGAGTTTTCCTTGGAGCATCTTATGAACTTCATTCCTTTCAGGATTTGATCTAGCTTTGTGTTCCAAGCTCGAGGAGCTTGCCTTAGTCCGTATAAATCTTTTGAAAGCTTGTATACCTTTTGTTCCTGCCCTTTTATCTCAAATCCTTCAGGCTGTTCAACATAGACATCTTTTTTTAATTCTGCATGTAAGAATGATGTCTTCACATCAGGTGAATCTCCCATCCATGTGATGCTGTTAATGCTATCAACAGTCTTATGGTTTCTAATCATGCAACATGTGAAAATACCTCATCAAAATCGATGCCTGATTCTTGTACATATCCTTTAGCCACAAGTCTCGCCTTGTACTTGTTGATAGTACCATCTGCATTCTTCTTAATCTCGAAAACCCACTTGAGACCAATGATCTTTGCCTCCTTCATGTTGATAGAGTCTATCTCCTCTCTACATGCTTGTCTCCACTTTAATGATCATTTTGCATCCTTAAAGTTCATTGGCTCATCATCTATTGAGAGTAGCAATATTTCACACTCAATTGCTGCTTGCAAGACAAAGTCATCGAGATACCCTAGCTTGCGTACTGGACGACTTGATCTTCGAAGCGGTTGCTCTGTATCAGCTTCATTAGGTTGATATTCTTCTGCATTATGATCAGCTTTGGGTTCGTTAATGTTGCTCGACACCGCTGATGGTATCGCTCGACAGCCTTGTTCATTAGTGTCGCTCGACACCGCTAATGGTGTCGCTCAACACCCGTCGTTTCCTCCACCTTCATGATCATAACCGATTACTGCAGGTCTTTCTCCTGCATCAATAACTTTACCCTACCTCATCTGAAACATCCCTGGATCCCTTCCTGATCCATCTCTTGGTTTGTTCCAATTCCAGCTTGCCTTTTCATCGAAAACCACATCACAACTCACCGTAATTCTCCTTGTCTCTGGATTATAGAGTCTATACGCCTTGGATTCTGGCTCAATCTCAAGGTGTACTAGCATATGTGACTTATCATCCAGCTTCTTGAGATTGACAGCTTCCACCTTTGAGTATGCGATACACCCAAAGACTCTTCAATTGCTCCAGACTTGGTTTCTTTTCTCGCAAGCATTCATAGGGAGTCATGTTCTTAAGAGCTCTTGTAGGTACTCTATTGATTACGTATGTGGCATGTCGAACTGCTTCTCTCGAAAAGTAATTAAGTACGTTCATAGCCTTGAGACTGCTCCTAGTCATCTCCATTAGAGTTCGGTTTCTCCTCTCTACTACACCGTTTTGTTGTGATGTGTAGGGAGCTGTGAGATGCCTCTTGATCCCCTTTGATTCGCAAAACTCATAGAACTCCCTAGAGGTAAGCTCTCCTCCTCTGTTGGTTCTAAGAGTCAATATTGCTCTTCCAAGCTCCTTTTCAACCAGCTCTTTGAACGCCTTAAATCTTTCAAATGCCTCACTTTTCTCTTTTAACAAGATAGACCACATGTATCTTGTAAAGTCATCTATGATAAAAAAAAAGAAATATGTATTTGTTACCAGCGATAGTTGGTGGTGAGATCGGACCACACAAATCTGCGTGAAGAAGTTCCAGCGGCCTTGAAGCTCGGAACATCGATGCTTTTAGAAAGCTTTGTCGAGTCTGTTTTCCGACTATACAAGAGTCACACAGTCATTTTTCTTCTCAAATCTCTGGTAGACCGTAAGCCATCTCTTGTTCTGACATAGCTTTTATTGTTTTAAAGCATATATGTCCCAATCTTGCATGCCATCTCCAAGTCTCATCCTCTATACTTGTGCTTAGACATATCGGTTTTCCAATTTTCAGGTTGGCTTTGTAAAGTCTATTGGGCGATCGTATGTCCGTATGACCTTCACCAAGAGTCTTCCACTCGGATCATGTAGAGTCAAGTAATCCTGCCTCATTCTGACGTCACATCCAGCTTCGGTGGCTTGTCCTAGAAACAGAATGTTGCCCTTGAGCTCAGGTATATAGTAGATATCTGATACAATTTTCTGCTCAATTGTTTTACTTTGAAACAGCATCGATCCCTTTCCAACTATTCTCAGGCAAGAGCCATTTCCAAACTTCACTTTTCCCCCTATGTTTTTGTTAAGCTCAAAAGAGAATGCTTTGTTGCTGGTCATGTGATTACTTGCTCCATTATCTAGATACCAAATTAAAGTCCCTCTTCACCTCCTTTGTTTTCATTGTTCTTTGGTATTAGTTTTTCTTCATTCAAAAACACCATCTCATGCATATAAAGTGCTTTATCAGCTTCTTCTGTCTCCACTTTATTTGCTTCTTGTGTCTTTTGTGATCGTTCAGGATAGACAGATGCAAAGTGTCCGGGTTTATCACACCGATAACAAATCACCTTTGATCGATTCTTCTTCTCCTTTGATTGGTTCTGATTTGTTGATCGATCTTGGGAGTTAGAACCTCCTCCTATGCCTCGTCCTCTGTTTCCTCTATCTCCTCTACCTCGTCCTCTCCCTCATGAGCTTGAAGAACCTTGCTGTTCTGAGTTAGCATATAGTAGCTTGCCTTGGATGTCTCCGTGATTCTCTTCCTCAAGAATCCTTTCTTCATACGCCTTAAGCCTTCCTACTATGTCTTCATAACTCGTCGTTTTCAGATCCAACACCTGCTCAGGGAGGCGATGATGTGAATAAACTTACTCCTTGCAAACTATTGAGAAACTTCTTCACAAGTTTTGGTTCTTCGATGGTTTTCCCTAGAGAAGCCGATTTTGAAGCTAGTTTAGATAACTTTCCCGCGAAGTCATCTATCTTGTCCGACTCATTCATCTTGATTCTCTCAAACTCGGACATTAGGGTTTAAAGCCACGCTTCTTTGACATGATCAGCTCCTAGATGCCGTGCTTTGATCGCATCCCATATCCCTTTAAGAGATTCTTGTTCGCCGACTTGCAGAATAAGAACTTCCAGGACAGATTGAAAGAAGAGTCCTATTGCGATATCATTCTTGTTGGGATCGGTTGAACCAGGTTTGATTGTTTCCCACACCTTATGGATTCGCAGCAGAGCTCTCATCCTCATAGCCCACACCGTGTAATTTGTCGCGGTTAGCATAGGGCACTAGATAGAAGAAGGAACACTTTCCTTCGGGTTAGGGTTTGGGACGCTCCCATAGTTGGATATTGAACGATCTTCGTGTTTCAATATCGCAGGTCTCAAGCTTCTCCTTAAGCTCTGATACCAATTCAAGTGTTTAAATCAAGAACAAACTTTGTTTATAAGAATAACTCTCTTATTATGTTTAGAAAATCTTTCAAAACTAAAACACCAAAGCATGTATCTCTCATTGATGCAACTTCATCAATGACTTACATATATATAGTGTCTTGCACAACTTTTTTAAGCTACTTTCTTTTTCCTATTAGAACTAGATATCTCCTAATCTTATAAGAAATATTACCAAACTTTAATTAGCTACTTAACCGACTTGTTAATAGTATTGGGGTTTGGCTTAATGTGGATGCTTACTCAACAGGTGATACAGAGAAGTCAATGATGAGATCATGATAATCAATAATTTCCCTTTTCATTCGAAAATCATTGAATTATATGGAGCAGCTTTTCAGTCGTAAAACAATTTGGTCCCAACATGTCCACTAACACCGAACAAGGACACCCTTTTCTCTTTACATTCCCTTTCCAAATCAACATTTTTGTCTGACTATTTTTTTTCTTTCAACAAAGAAAAGATAATTATCCAAATAAAAACATTCCGTAATCCTTACGTCAAACTGGCACAAGTGATCAGTGAGATATGAATCTGAAACAAGAACTAAGTCAGAGAATTAACAAATAATCCGAGAATACAGAACAAAATTATAAAATTGCCAATAAAAAGGAACTTGGAAGTCAAGAAAAAAGGAAAACAGATAAAGCAAATAAACAAATAAGACTCCCCTTTTGGGATCGTAAACATGACATGACATGAAGAAATTGGGAGGACTTAGAAACATAACCTCAAATACAAGAAGCTGTAAAACTCTGTTCAAATTTGGAGAGAGTATCAAATTAAAGATTCATTGTCTTCCCAAAATGTCTAAGAAATCATGCTCAAGGTAGTAGATGGTAGCATGTGTGGGTGTCGGATATTGACTGGTAATGGATGTATATCATCAACATAGGACGTACAAAAGAGTAGATTGAAAACATTATTGTGTTTGAATAATAGTTAGTACATGTGACATATTGATCGTATCCACACAAAACCTTATCAAAACCGCTCACAGTGGTTTAAATGAATTTCATGAGATTTTTCTAATTTGTTAGTACACAACTAAACATTTGATTTCTACCAAATCCTAAGAAAATGACTACACAAAAAATGTACATGTGCTATAATCAAATCATTTCAAAGTCTTTCCCAGACCAATAATATTGCAGTTTCAAATATTTGTTTTTTTCTTAAAACAACTCTTATTTATATTGATATCTATTATAAATCTTTTGAGCATATTTTCTTTTTCATGCAATCATGCTCTGCGCTGCAGGCAGATCCCTTGCAATCATGCTCTGCGCTGGCGTACATGTGCATATTGTCTTTGTCCTTGTTATTTTCAAAGTACATGTGCATATTGTCTCATTGTGGTCTACTGTTTGAATCTCAGATATACAAAGGTAGAAGAGAGAAGGGAATACTTTACTACCTACAATAACTACATGCTTATCAAGAGCTCAGGACAATTGCTGACCTTGGGACTATTCAATTTCTTAGAAGACCATCTAATGTCTGCAGACCATCTAATGTCTGCAGACAGATCCCTTGCAATCATGCTCTGCTAGCATATATGTGCATAATGTCTTTGACTTGGTTATTTTCAAAGTAGAGGAGGATTTCGACTTGGCGTTTGGTTTCCTTGCAGCCAGCTTCTGTATCTTTTACAAGTCAATAAAAGATGAATTAGAGTTAGCATATCTGATACTCATCAGTTTAGTGTTGTGTTGGATGAAGAACTTTTTAGTTGGAGGGAATGGAGCAGCGTGTATGGATAAAGAAAGAGTGGAAACTTCACAAAGTGATAGAGGTTGATGATAAGAGTTCGAAGAAAGCTAAGGCTAAGAAATCGAAGCTTTATCTTCTGTTTTTAAGTTTTCTTTTGTCAAACTTAGTATACATATTGAGGTGATACAGAGAAGCCAATGATGAGATCATGATAATAAGTAATTTCCATTTTGTATTTGAAAATCTTTGAATCATGGAGCAACTTTTCAGTCGTAATGATAATTTTGAAAACAATTTGGTCCCAATATGTCCACTAAAACCGAACACTTTGAGGACACCCTTTTCTCTTTACATTCTCTTTCCAAATCAACATTTTTGGCAACTATTATTTTTCCTTCAACAAAGAAAAGATAATTATCCAAATAAATAAAAACATTCCATAATACTTACGTCAAACTGGCACAAGCTAAGTGATCAGTGAGATATGAATCTGAAACAAGAACTAAGTCCGAGAATTAACCAATAATCCGAGAATACACAACTAAATATAAAATTGCCAATTGAAAGGAACTTGGAAGTCAAGAAAAATAAACTGAGATTAAGCAATAAGATTCCCCCTTTGGATTGTAAACATGACATGATCACACGAAGAAATTGAGAGGACTTAGTAGCATAACCTCAGATACAAGAAGCTGTAAAACTCAGTTCAAATGTGGAGAAAGTATTAAACTAAGATTCAGTGTCTTCCAAAACGTCTAAGAGATCCCGCTCAAGGTACATAAGATATATATCACTACGTTGTTCCTCTTCTGTTGCTGCTTTACGGTCCTCCTGTATGACCAAAAAAAAAACAGAAAAAAATATGTTGATAAAAAAATAAAGAAAACATTTATCTATTACAAGTGATTTTTCGAATATTCACCATAGGCATTAAGCATTCGATATGAAACAAGTCGTCGCACTGTTTGCAGATGTAAATATTATCCCCAGATGAGCATTCTGATCTACAAAGAGAACACCTTCTCCTATCAGAGGTATACCTATCTTCGACAGAATGTTGATGTTTCTGGCTCTTAACTTTGGGTTGGAGTCCCAAGACACTCTACATGTGCTTTAAAGCTACAGTCAACACAACCATAGAACGAAACGCCACAGGGTTTAGCACAAACACTGCAGGCTTGTGTCAAACGTAAGTCTTCCATCCAAAAATTATAAAGATAGTGGCTGTGAGACTTGATCTTACTTATACCCCCAGCTTTGATGCATTCGATGTGGAAGCTGATATTGCAACTGTAACAACTATACCCATGCTTTGGAATATTCATCTTGCAGGCAATGCAGTTGCCTCCACTTGTAGCTCTCATTGAAAGCATGTGATCCGAATGAAATGGATGATCATATATTGATTCTCTCCAAAATTCAATGCAGCGAGAATGATATATCTCTCCACACGTTATACATGATAGAGCTTTTCCATATAGCTTCTCAAAACAAATAGCACAATCGGTCATATAAGACCTCGATACCATAACTTGAACTATATCATGCATGTCACTAATGTATTGTCCTTCCCATTCTCCAATGATTTGTTTCCCTAACATCCCAAGAGAATGTTTACCTCTCAAGGCGCATTTGATGTCAATGACGAAATTGCATATTCGACAAAGGAGGATAAATCCCCATAAAGATTCTCTGCATTTACTACAGTTCTCGCTCTCCTGTTTAGGAGGATTAGGCAGGAGTGTTAAAGGATGTTCCCAGTGAAGAAGCCGATTTTTCCATGGTTGCCCCAGCTCTGCACAAAAATCATGTGTCTGGAATTCGCATGATGTGCATTTACATGGGTTACCGCATATTTTTCCGCAACATATGTGGCAATTTACGTCTTCGCTAAGCTCACTCATGTGGATCGGTCTCATCACATGAATATGCAACACATCATCAACCTTTAACATATATATGTATGGAAAAAGTTAGGAAAGACTGATCCAAAAGAAAAAAAGCATTTATATGACCAGTGTATCGACGACTATAAAGACACACCATGAGTTTGGAATCCAATATGTTCGTTTCACCGCTTTCTTGATTAGTTGCTCTTGTGACATCTTCACGGCCACATAAATATAAATCTTTCAAGTACAATGGGGAGGGATTTTCCTGTTGTTTATGAGTAAAAGTAATTCATCAGCATGGTCGTCATCATTAACAAAAGAAAGAAAAAAAATAGCGTTTACATATTAAGTACCTTACGTAGAATGCATTCAATATGACCAAGATAATCACATTCTTGGCAAGAATAAGCATGATGTCCTGCATGTACCACTGTCTCGCATACTCCACAATACTCCAAAGACTCGTCATTGCCTAAGAATGTTTTGCACACAAGGGGATGAATGTGAAAAGATTTCTTGACGAGAGACTTGGGTATCCCAAGACACTCGAAATGAAAGTTCATTTCACATTCGACGCAGTAATAATAGGAATCGAGAGAAAGGGTACTAGTTCCCATGCATATCTGACATGGGCTTCTTTTGTCAATGGCATAACGAGCATCAGTAGCTACATAAAACAGCCTGTGCTTATGAGACTCGTGCATCAGACCTCGTAACAAAGAATCTGCACACCTTAAATGGAGGTCAATACCGCATTCTATGCAGCTATACGGCACACCAAAGATCGTTAAAGTGCACGCAACACAACTTATTCGACCACCACATGTTCGTTGGTAACTAAGGCGTGTGAGAGGGTGTGCTGGATGTACAGGGTGTTGAATCTCCATTGGAAGATCAAAGCACTTGTGGTGAACAAACGAGTAACAATGAACACATCCGTAACATATGGAGGAGGGGGATACAGGAAGCTCACATAGCAGGCAAGAGCCTTTGGCATCTGATCCTGGCCTACACCTCCTGAGTAAGTGGCAGTGGCTGTCATGGAGCAACTCTTCAACGTCCCAAGCGTCACTGATGTTAACTCGTAGCGCACAACCAAGATCTAGGTAGATCTCACATGTTTTACACTTGTAGAAGGAGCCACAAGACATTTCCCCACACCCTGAGCAAACGACGTATTTAGGTTTCCGATCATATTTGAATTGACAAAACTCTAGAGGATGCTCAGGGTGGAAATCGTGATACACCTTCTCCGGAAGTTCGGAACAAGATAAGCATAGATCGAAATTACAAGGCTTACACTCAAACTCCACAAGCTCATCTTTGTGGCATATGTTGCAGACGCTGCCTGTGACGGTCTCCGGACAGGTCAGATCGCATTCATGTGAGAAATGCTTCAGTGTTTGCAAGGCCATGGGCGCAAGAACTCGACAAGAAAAAAAAGAATGGTTCAAAATGAATTTTGATCCAAAGAACAAAAACACTGATGGAAAACTATGGACCTTGATAAACCACTTATTTTCAGCAGACAACTCTTTAGTTTGAAATGCAGAGGCAGAGATCTCGAGATGCCTCGAGAGGTGGAAAGATACGAATCGAGGCCTCGTGGTTGTGAATTGTGTACGATGAACGTTAAACAATATTTAAACATACATAGTTAAAAAGAGAACAGAGAGCACACTGATTTGTTTATTTTTCTTTCAATTGTTTTCTTTTACGCACCAAGCTCCATATTGAGGGTTTTACTGAAAGTCTGAAGCTCATTTATTTAAGGGCTTTGCTTGGAGGACTAATATATTCATCTAACAATCAACTTTGCATTTATAAAATTGACATGTATAAAAGATTTAGGGGTTTGATATTTATCTCTAATAGCAATTTTTTTTTGGCTTTAGATCATTGTTTGTATATACATGTGTATTTTTCAAGTATTTAGCAAGTATAATATGATTTTTCCAATCATTTTGAAAAACGACGACTTTGTCAACATACAAAAACAAAACAAATTCATCATCTTGGATTTTGTTCATAAGCAAGAGCCACCAAACACATAATAAAACCATTTTATTCTCCACCGTTTTAAAAACTTCATGGGACTCCACCATCATGACTCTCACACCCAAAGACGTGAACCCCACGCAACACAAGCCAATCCTCTCTAAGCTTATACACACCAAAACAAAACAAAATGCCAAAAAGCGAAAAAGGATCATCACAAATTAAGATTCAAGACAATGAGAGTGAAAGCAACTTTGATTAACTTCAAATCAAAGCTTTCCAAATCATGCAACAGATTTGTCTCTCTCTTCCGCTTCAGAGTTAAAAGACCTATCTTTATTAGACCTCTTCGTCGTGCTCATCATGGCAATGTCAAACCTAAACATCATCATCATCATCATCCCAAGAAGCCACTCTGTTCTTCTTCCTCTTTGTTGTCTTGTCTCTGTTTTCTCAGCACAAACAAAGACCAGAAGATGAGCCCCACCAAAACCAGAAGTTCCTCTTGTAAGACAATTGTTTTTCTACTATTATCAGTTCAATTCGAATAAAAAAGGTTCTATTGCGAGTTTAAGATGGAATTATATAAGTTTTTTTCTTCTCTCTTTATTCCTCCAGTTAGTGTGAAGGATGATGATTTTTCGAAGTTTATGCATTCGCCTCTTACGCCAGCAGCAGCCAAGAAACTGTTCAATTCACCAACCACCACGCCTGTTTATGCAGCACGGGCCAAGAAATCGCTGAGCTCAAGAGATACGTTCGAAGACAATGCCGTGGAAGATGCTTGCAGAAGCTTTGAAAACTTTCTGATTCATCTGATTGTTGAAGGGAAAATGGATGACTTAATGGACATAGAGGAGCTTCTCTTTTGTTGGAAGAATCTTAAGAGCCCTGTCTTCATTGAACTTGTCTCCAGATTCTATGGAGAACTCTGCAGAGACCTGTTTTCAGGTGAATGAACAGATCCATAAATGATCCAAACAAAATTGTTTTTATCTTTCTTTCTCAACAAACAAAACAAAAAAAAACTATTTGCGGTTTTGGCAATCATTGAACACACCATCTTCAATGTGAAGCTATAGAGATTGTGTGTTTTCGCGTTTCACATAACGAAGAAACTTGGATTTATTAACTATAGACCAAAACTTGAATGTGGATAAAGATACAAAGCAACATCCTTGGAGAAAAATTATTTTACTTGCCTATCTAACTTGCAAAAAAGTAGCCATCTTTACCTGACACTTTCGAAATAACTGAATCTGCAGAGCGGTTCTTTTTACCCTTTTGTTTTCGAAAGATAAACATGAGATTTAATCACTGAATCTCCGATTTTAAACCCCGGCATTGTGATGAACTCAACGCTTAAATCACCTTCTCCATCTTCTTTTTCATCACCCACTACAGATTCCATGTAGACACCTGAGAATCTAGCTCCTCTTCTAACCACAAAAATCTGAGCTTTTTGATCCAAGGAAGCTGCAAACGATCCAAGAATCCATACCCATATCGCCATTTTCGCAAAGATTCGATAAAACATCGTTCTTGGATGCTTACCAAGCAAAACAAGACCCCTCATATCCAAATTTCCAAAGAACGAAGCCTCCATCGACGGATGAACAACTAAAAGATACTTCTGACCGCAGAATCTGGAAAACGCAGAATCTGGAAACGCTGTTAACGCGTCCAAAGGATCCTCGAAACTCATTAGTTCAGTCACATCACACGGATTAAGCTTTAAACCGTGAAACATTCTCCGAACAATGTACGACTCAAAAGCAAACTTCTTATCTGAGTTTTTAGCATATGTTACATTTCCCACAATAGATTCCACTGCCTTGTCCAAATTCCAATCTGTAGCTTTCATCAGAGTGATTAATGGCTTCGCAAAGTCGTGAATGGACTTGGAAGCAGTTCGAAACGCGAATTCAAACGAAGAAACAGTCACAATCCTCTCTTCGAGTTTACTATTCTCTGCAACCAAACAGTCTAGTTTCTCCTTTAGAGCGTGAATCTCACTATCCTTTGCTTTCACCTGTGCCTTGAGTTTCTCCAAATGCTTCTCGCTCACTTCGATTTCATCTCTCAATCGATCCAAACAAGAAGCAGCATCAAGCTCGGTCTTCGAGCGAAGCTGCTTCGTTTTGAGGTAGAGACGCTTGATTTTGCGTAAGGCCTCGAGCTGAGACACGACTAGGTTGTCTGCTTCTATGATCTTGTCTGGATCATAAGGCAAATGAGCTCGTTGAAACTCGAGATACGCGAGTTTAAGCACTGAAACTATGCCAAACAGCTTCAATATATCATCGTCGTCATCATCTGGAGATTCAGGACGAAAATTTCGAATCTTTCTCGAGGGTTTGTGATTGATTTCGCGGATTTCAGTTTCGTTGGCTTCATTACAAGTTTCGTTCGAATTCGGCTTCTGGTCAGGGAAAACACCAATGGATCTGAATTTGCAGACTTTAGCGAATCTGGAGATGATTTCCGATAGATTCGAGGGAGTCGATGATTTAACGGTGGCATTCTCCATGAATCGAAATAGAAACCCTAATCCAGAAGCAAGGAACAGGAAACAACTTTGTTACAGAAACGAGACTAGGGTTTTACAAATGATTCGTATTCGATTCAGATAAAAACCTTCCAAAAATTTTAAACAAAAAGTGTTGTTTATGAATTTTTGTTTTTTTTTTTTCAATTAGAGAAGACGACAAATCCAATTTGAAAGTTTTTTAAAATTGTTTTTTAGCAGTTTAAGTCATGGCAGGAGACTAAAGATGCAGAGGAATAGTTAGAGAGACCAAATACAAGCAAGACTAAAGACAACACAAAACAACTAAAAAAAAACAGAGAACCGTAGATTGTCCAAACTGTAAACCAATGAAGTATTCAGTCATTGGTTTTACTGTTCAAATTGTTTTTTTTTTTTTGCTGAAACTGTTCAAATTGTTCAAACTTCAAAGTGTAAAAGCTAAGAATAACCCAGGAGAAGAACAGAACATAAAGAATTTCTCCTTTTTTTTTTTATGTAAATGATGATGAACAACAAGTAAACAACAACAATAAGAAAGCTCATTTCAACGATAGAGACAGGCAATAACAAAAGAATGAAAAAACAGAATCACCTGTTTGTTTTTGTACACTAGTAGCAGCCAAAGTAAAGTTAAGCACGAGGAAGGCCAAAGTTCGAGCCTTTTGTGCTTATTTCTCTCTGTCTCTCTCTCTGCCTCACATAAAATGCTTGTTGCTTAACATTGGAATGAGGTTTATTATATTCTTCTTTTTTAGATCTTGCTCCTCATTAAGAAGACGACACAAACAAGGTTTTTTTAAAAAAGAAAATACTTACTACTATATAACCTCGTTAATGGTGATGATTCTGGGATTCCTAAACCATAAATCGACTAGAATTAGCGTTTAGTTCCCCTTTTTTTGTTTTTTGTTTTCTTTTTATTTCCCAAAATCGAAAACAGAGCGTGTTTGGAACTGAGAAGCTTTAATCTTCACCAATCCTCTAAAAAAAAATAATTGATTTTATTTTGTTTTGAATAAATCATGGGAATCCAAGAGAAAACCCTCAGGATTCAGGAATCTCCACAGGCATCGTCGCGGAGAAACAAAACCCTCAGGATTCAGAAGTATGGGTTTACAAATCTTCCTACTTCCTTCACTTGGGTTCTTATCATCCCTCATGTATAGCTTATCAGCCATCACCACACAACCATACGACCACATGCTCCACATGGAACGTAGCTCAATGTCTATCTTTATAATCTCAGGCTCCCACGTTTGTGATTTTGTATTAAACACCACCATCACATTCTTCCATCTATTGTAATCGCGATATCCAATTACGTAGATTCTCCCGTCGATGCTGCCAGCGATCCTAAAAGACATGGGCACAGGCATGCTTGGGAGGGTTTGCACCATGTGAGATCTGCAGTCGATGCTTGACGTCATATTCTTCTGGTCCCCACCAAACATATAAATCCTCGGACCCACAGCGACAAAACTTACACCATAACACATAGCGGGAAGCGAAGGGATAAGGACCAAGCAACGATTGCCGTTGGTTTTCGGGCGGAGGATATACAAATGGAAATCCTTGGTTTCGTTGTTAAAGATTACAGCATAGAGACAGTGTTCGGTGCAGCCTAACAAGGATCATCTCGCTTATAGTTCAGGGGATACAACGAGTGATCGGAAGTGCTTTGAAACGAGGGAGTGTTAATTGGTAAGAAGCACAAACCGTGCCCTTCTCTGTGTGTTGCATTATCATTATATAATTTACAAGGGAATCAAGCTAATCAATCAGAGTAAATACAAGAATATACGGTGCACTAATTTTGGTATTGAGTTTCCTATTCTATCACTCCCCTGCAGTCTTAACGTGGGATGGCTGAACGTTTAGACTAGATCGAAAGCTGGTGAAGAGTGAAGATGGAAGCCCCTTGGTAAAAATATCTGCGTATTGGTGAGCCGAGGGAACGTGGAGCACTCGTACACTGCCAAGGGCAACACGTTCTCAGACGAAATGGATGTCAATCTCCACGTGTTTAGTGCGTTGGTGTTGGACTGGGTTTGTTGAAAGGTAGACGGCGCTGACGTTGTCACAATACACGATAGTTGCAGTGGTGATAGGACAAAGAAGTTCAAGAAGGAGATTACGAAGCCAAGTTGTTTCGGCTACAGCATTGGCAACTCCACGGTATTCAGCCTCCGCACTTGAATGAGATACTGTTGGTTGGCGTTTTGACGACCAAGAGACGAGGTTGTCGCCAAGGAAGACGCAGTACCCAGAGGTTGATCGGCGTGTGGTGGTAAAACCTGCCAAGTCAGCATCGGTGTAAGCCGTGATCTTAGAGATGGTGGTTGGTTTCAGTTGAAGTCCGTGAGTGATGATGCCTTTGATGTAGCGGATTATACGTTTGAGAGCATTAAGATGTGGCTCACGGGGATCATGCATGTGAAGACAAACCTGCTGAACGGAATATGCTATATCTGGACGCGTGAAAGTGAGGTATTGGAGAGCACCAGCAAGGCTGCGATAGAGAGTAGGGTCAGCAACAGGTGGTCCAGCATCAACCGCAAGTTTTGACGATGTATCAACCGGGGTGGAGCAAGGGTTGCATCCCGACATGCCTGCACGGTGGATGATGTCGGCTGCGTAGTTTTGTTGGCTTAAGAACATCCCGTTTTGATCCCTGTTAATAGCAATACCAAGAAAATAGTGAAGATCGCCAAGGTCAGTCATAGAAAATTCAGAGTTTAGAGATGTTATGATCGACCGTAGGAGAGAAGGTGAAGATGCCGTGAGTCCAATGTCGTCTACGTAGAGGAGTAGATAGGCTAAGTCTTTCCTGCGCTTAGAACAAATAATGATGCATCACATTTGCTTTGTTTAAACCCGATCTTGGTGGCGAAGTTGGCGAAACGTTGATACCAAGCACGATGGGCTTGTTTAAGGCCGTAGAGAGATTTTTTGAGTACAGACATGCATAGGCCGAGTTGGATCAACGAATCCTGGTGGCTGATGCATATACATTCATCGAGATCGCTGTATAAGAATGCATTTTTGACGTCGAGTTGTCGCACAGGCCATTGAAGTGAGACGGCAATGTGAAGGACAGTGCAGATCGTCGCAGGCTTGACGACAGGGCTGAAAGTCTCATCGCAATCTATTCCAATTTGTTGTGTTTTGCCATTTGCGACAAGACGGGCTTTGTATCGAGAAAGACGACTACCTGCATCAAACTTATGTCTAAAAAGCCACATGGAGCGCACAATGTTAGTGTGTAAGGGTCTTGGGACAATTATAAACGTGCCACTCGTAATGAGAGCATCATATTCTACATGCATTGCATTGTTCCAATACTTATCTTTTAAAGCTTGGACATGAAATATAGGGAGAGGAGAGATCGTATCTGTATGAAGTGAGAAAATCTGCTTCTTTTTAGTAATTCCACTATGGCTCCGTGTTTGTATCCCATGAGAAGGCGGAAGAGGAGGTGGAGCTTGCGTTGTTACAACAACTGGAGGAACCATCGGCGGTGCTGGTGGAGCTGGTGGTGCTGGTGGAGCTGGCGGTGGTAGTGGAGCTAGTGGAGCTGGCAGAGTAAGCAGAGCCGGCGGAGCTGACGGTGCTTGTTGGGGAGGCAAAGTCACGGAAGGAAGAGAGTGGAGAAGAGGATAATAAGAGTGTTGAGTAGTCGGTGGCGTTGGATATGTTTCAGAAGCAGAGTGTTGAAAAGGGAAAGAGTTTTCATCAAAAACTACATGACGAGATAAGATTTATGCGTTTTGTTTCAAGGTCTAAGCATCGATAGCCACGATGGTTGGAGGGATAGCCCAGAAAAACGCATTTAGAGGAGCGAGGAGCAAGTTTATGAATAGAAGTTGGAAGAAGATTTGGATAACAAAGGCAGCCAAAAATTCGAAGGTGATCATAAGAGACGGCTTTTTGAAAGAGACGAGTAAAAGGGATTTCATTGTTGATAGAGGAAGAGGGAAGAATGTTGAACAGGTGAGCTGCCATATGGAGCGCTTCGGCCCAATAGGAAGGAGGCACATGAGCTTGGAGAAGGAGAACACGAATGAGATTGTTGAGAGTTCGAAGAGTGCGTTCAGCACGGCCATTTTGCTGTGAGGTATGGGGGCATGAGAAGCGAGATTGGATGCCATTGGAAGAGAGAAAATTTTGAAATTCACGACTGGTGTATTCATCACCATTGTCACAATGAAAAGCTTTAATTGTTTTGTTAAATTGAGTTTGAACATAACAAAAAAAATGCCGAAATTTTGTGAAAACTTCACTCTTTTGACGTAAAGAATAAACCCAAAGAAAACGACTATATTGATCAAAAAAAATAACATAATATCGTATTCCACTGACACTTGGAATTGGAGATGTCCAAATATCAGAGTGTACAATATCAAAAACAGAGAAAACTTGCGATGAAGAAGATAAAAACGGTTGCCGAATATGTTTTCCTAACTGACACGGGTGACACAAGGGAGTCGTATCCAGTTTTGAACATTTAAGAAATCCAGAAGACACTAAAAAATGAAGCGTCGAGTTCCCGGGATGACCGAGTCGTCTATGCCAAACTGAAGCAGAAGAAGATGTTGAAACAAAAGCTTGAGGGAAATGAGATGTGGTTGGAGTGACAGAGTAGAGAGGGCCATCACTGTCACATCGGAGTAGAGGAGCTCGAGTTTGAAGGTCCTTAATAAGAAAACCGAAAGGGTCAAATTCAACAGAACAAAAATTATCTTTAGTAAATTGACGAACAGAAACGAGATTTTTTAAAATGCCAGGACAAAGTAAAACGTTTTGGAGATAAAGAGGCCGAGAAGAGGTCGAGATTGTGGATTTTCCCATTGCTGTTGCAGGTAAACTAGATCCATTTCCCACTGTGACAAAGGGAAGAGAAAAGACAGAGGATGAAGGAGAAGATGAAGATATAGAAATCATACCTGGTTGTGACGTCAAGTGTGCAGTGGCACCAGTATCCATGTACCAACCAGAATCTGCCGGGTCTTGAAGCGTCATTGTGTTGAATGCACTGGCGAGAGCAGTTGGGATGAATTCCTGAGTCACTGCTCCTTGAGTCTGAGGTTGGAATGTCTGAGTGAAGTAGGCAGAACCACGTTGATTTTGTGGCATCGGACCGAGAATTCCAGAATTTGCAGGGGCAAGTTGAGGTTGAAACTGTCGGTTCTGTTGAGTCCAAAGTGGTTGCTGCTGTTGCGGCCAAATGAGTTGCTGCTGTTGCGGCCAGAACCATGGTGGCGTAGAGGATTGGGGATGATTCCAATTCTGATTGTAGTTGTTGCGTCTGCGACCGCGACCCCTGTTTCCTTTATTGTTGCGATTGCCTTTGTAGTTGTTGTTGTATCCTCGTTGATTGGAGTAATCTTGAGGCTGAGAATTTTGTTGGGGAGTTGTAGCAAGCTGGAGCTGAGCCGATGAAGCGTTTTCGTCGTTGTTTGAGGTAATTTGGCGTTTGGTGTTGAGGCGATCTTCTTCATCTTTGAGCATTGATCTCGCATCGCTAAACGTACATGGTGGTGTCCGATGTTTGATAACATTAACGATGTTATCAAATTTGCTGTTGTGCCCATTTAGGAGGTGCATGACAAGAACACGATCTGTAACCGGAGAGTTGACGTTGGCAAGCATATCGGAGATCGACTTGAGTTTTTGGCAGTAATCATGAACCGAGAGATCTCCAATAGTTAAATTGCGGAGTTGATTTTCAAGTTGAATTGCTCGAGTTTCTTTGTTGTCGCGGAAGAGATTTTCGAGCATGGTCCATAGTTCGTGAGCAGAACACTGGCTTTTAAGAACAGAGTTGAGGATAGATTCCGAGATCGTACCATAGATCCACATTTTGACGGTGTTGTCAAGTTGTTTCCAGGCCGTGTCTTCTGGTCCTGTAGGGAGAGAGGAGCCATCTAAATGGCCTGTGACGGAGAAGCTGAAGCAGTGGGTTTCAAAGAGGATGCGCCACTGGTCATAATTCATCTTACTCATGTCGAGAATGATTGGGATATGAGCGCGGATCTGAGTGAGACTTGCGGCGGTTGGTGTTGCGGTGGTGGGTGTTGCAGCGGCCGCAATTGGAGGTGAGTTTGATGACGATGATGAATTGCAGAGAAAATGCAGAGTAAAAGTGCAGAGAAAGAGAAGAGTAAATGTATATCAGAGGCAGAGAAGAGAAACAAGAGAGAGAGAGATGAAGGAGAAGCAATAGAAGAAGAACGAAGAGATAGAAAAGAAGGATCTTTTAGAGAGCGGCGGCTGGAAGAAAAAGATTTAGGTTAGAGGCAAAGCTCTGATACCATGTTAATTGGTAAGAAGCACAAACCGTGCCCGTCTCTGTGTGTTGCATTATCATTATATAATGTACAAGGGAATCAAGTTAATCAATCAGAGTAAATACAAGAATATACGGTGCACTTATTTCGGTATTGAGTTTCCTATTCTATCAGGGAGAGTTTTGGATAGTCACATCTGGGTACACGCGCTAAGATATCAATGATAACATCTTCCGGAAGTGACATAATCAGGGACGACAATGGCGTCTTCTTTGCACTAATTTTATAAAACATGTGTAGAATTTGGCGAGGAAAGTGCAAAACCCTAATAGTAGGCTCAACCGGTTTAAGAGAGCGAATCCCTAATTCCGAGACAGAGAGCGAATCCCTAATTCCGATAAGATTCCTTTAAATTTAGAACATGCATGCAATAGTTAGTCAGGATGATGCCAAGGCACGACCGGTTTAAGAGAAGATTAGAGAAGAAGTTTGGGTTGGTGACGACGAGAAAAAATTCGAGCTCGAGAGATGATAACGAGAACGCGACCTTTTGTTTTTGTTTTTCTTCTGTTATATATAGACTACCTTTTTCCCTTTCTTTTTCTAATCGAGTTCCTTTTCCTTTTATCTATAGGAGAATTATATTTTGTAATTAATTATTCTATTTTACTAATGGAAAAAAAAACAGGCAAGTTCAGGAAGCATATCTCAAAATTACGGAGAGCGTTGGATGTGACAAATATTTAGGATTTCTTGAAGATTTATCCAAAATTTAAAACAGAAATGTTCTTGTATATAGTGAATGAAAATTTGCGAGAGAACAAGAGGTTGGCTCACTAATTAAATTGTAGCTATTTTTTCTTACGAATCAAAAGGAATGTACATGATCTCCCCCTAGGTCTATAATTACAGTCTGCAAATAAGCCGTTTGGTTCTTTATTTCATGATGATCCCAAAATTTGTTGCTACTATATTCACTAAGGCTTTTGATAGGGTTCAGTTTAATCGTTTTTTGTATCTTCATACTCCTACTTTAATGGTAATACTAGATTTTGACCTGCCCTATACGCAGGATTAGAATTAACTTTTAATTGTTAGAGCAGCTCCGATGGTAATATTAGGAGGGGTTCTAAATATATTTTTGATTTAAAAAAAATGTTTAAATGGTTTAATATGCTTGAGACTTATTTTAGAAATTGAAAAGCCTGCAAAATGATTGGTGGCGTGTTTTTATTTTTTATTTTTGTTTTTTTAATCAAAGCTTCTGATTGATGTAGAGTCTTTCAAATGAAAATATTGTTTGAGAATATTTTCTATCTTCTTTCTTCGACTTCGGTGGTATCGAAGTATCCAGCAACTCCGGCGTTCGATCTTGGCGAGTCGATGGCGGCAGCGACACAATCTCCTTCTCCTCCGGAGTTCTGCTTAGACTCCGGTAGATTCTTCTCATCGGAAACGATGGTCGCGGAGCTTCCTCCCATAGAAACGAGATCGATCCAAAGCTAAATTCACAGGCGGCGTCTCAGATGCTCTGTTCTCATCCCACTTGAGTCCTGTAAATCCCTTGTTCGGATGACACATCTAAGTTTGTAATTCAGACATCTATGTTTTTTTATAGAGGAACTGGGTGAGTTTGGAGCTGAGATCAAGCTTTCTCTCTTCCAGCTTGGGCTCAGTCCACAAATAATAGCATCCATAATTATGCAGGTTAAGATCTTCCCTTTGATGTAATGTGTTTTCTTGAATTTGTGGATTCTTAATGTATTAAGATTATGATTGATGATATCAAGAGATCATGAAAAGGTGTTGTGCCAGGTGCTTTGTCACGTTCTTCCATCCTTGGTGAAGCTGCGAAAGGAAGGCTTAGATGGTCACGAGAAGATCAAGAGTTACATGTGTGTTTAGTTTTTTTCCTCTTAAGCCGTAAGATGAATTCTTAACATGCAATTAATTTGTTTGTTGTAGCTCTTGTGACTTTTGTGCTTCAATAAACAACGTAACTAAATCGTTTGTTTTTTACCTCTATCTTTTTTAGATGGTGGCTATCGTTTCTCTTTGCTATAGTGGAAGCTGTAGTGGTGGCTTGCACTTCTCTCCAATATTCAGTTTTTGCAGCCACCTCTCAGTAAGTTATAGGATTACTCACGTTCAGAGTAAGATATAATATTGCTTATAAATTCCATTCATTTCATCATCAGTATTTTGTAGAAAAGATTGTTGTATATTGAAAATTGTTACCATTGATATGATTGTGGATCTCTTTCTTCTTGTTCTGTTTTTAATATGGTGGTGATATCTTCATATCATCTAAACTTGTAATTTATTGTCTTGCAGGACACCAATGAGGCATGGACAAAGGCTACTGTCATCGGCTTTTTGAAGTTACAGGCCACCGTTTTTGTGTTTGTGCTTTGGGTTTCATTTGATAACAATTGAGTCTTCATGGCATCGGTGCATTCATGTGGATTTCATTTGTTGTGTTATGGGTTTCATTTTTGAGTTTGTGTTTTGGTGGTGATAGTTTTGTGGCAAGGTTTTTAATTTGTATTAATTAAATGTTTGTATTTGAAAAAAAAATTATAATTAAATTTTTAAAAAAAAACTTCTTCTAAGATTCTACCATTGGACAATAAAACAATGAAAAAATTTATAAGAGGCTCTAGTTCACTAAAGTGATAAAAAAATTATTAAAAAATAAATTAGATCTTCTCATTAGAGACCATTGTTGGAGGTGGTCTTAGCTCTAATGTGTTTTTAAATGTGATGTATACTTAGTTACAAAAGACTAATGATATAAATATTGAAATATATAACTAAATAATTTTTGAAATATGATAGTATTCTAATTATTGTTTACTGTATCGAATTTATTATAACTGTCCGATTAGTTTTCTAAGTATTTTATTAAATTATACATGTTTAAAAGATTGTTGATTGTTTGTTGTATTTTTCTTTAAAACCAAGCTCAACTAATGGTTTAGCCTTTTACTCATATGGTGATTATACATTAAAATCGTTCAAAATCTCAACACAACTAAACTAAAACCTAACCTAAAGATTCTTAACACAAGTATTTATAAGTCTTCAAGACGTTTGTCGTCACTTAAGACTTCTCGCAAGACAAAAATCAATTGAACTTGAAATTGGGCTTTTGGGGTTGGACACCCATTCTCTGCGGTCAAGAGGTCTGCGACCATGGGGGAACATGTGTTGGCGGGAGTCTAGAAGGCTTGCCGACTGCTTGATGGGACTTTATGATATTCACATAACTTTTGATTGAACTGTTGGCTTGTCCTCATGTTAAGTGTGCTGGAAAGCTAGCTAATCCATCTACTGTATAAGATATCCAAATTAGAGCTGTATCAGACGGTCAGAAAGTCTTCATTTGAGGGTAAAAATCCGACGGTTTGACTCTGAGCCAAAAATATGGTCTTTTATCCAATTTGCAAAGCTTTTGTTTAAATTTCCTGAAAAGAGACTTATACCATAAATACTAAAAAACTATAATAAAAATACTTAAAGGAAATAAAAAATATTTAAAAAACATTCAAAAATGATCCATAAAAGTGGTCAACATACGATTATGATTCACCATTCCATAGCAGTTTCTAAACCATGGAACATTTATACCCTAAACTTTTTCATTTTTTCTCTTTTCTACCTAACAAACTCACCAAAAACATGTCTGAGTAGATTTTACCCAATATTTCAAGAGTTCTCAGCCCGCTTTCCTTTCTCTGTTTTAATAAAATCTCACAAATTAAATATAATTGGTTGCATTTAATTCTTTAGCAAAATAATTTTATAAGTGTGGGTGAAAAACCTAGTATATAAGAGGGCAAGAAATAAAAGTTGTCGCTCGCATCCAACATGGATAAAAAAAATTTGAAAAATTTATGTCCGATCCAAATAAACAGGGTTTTAAGTTTTTTTTAAGTTCTATTATAAAATTTATTTTAATATATTAAGTTGATAAAATATTATCGTGTATGGACGCGCAGATAATCTAATGTAATAATTTACTAAAAACTTTTAAATTATTGAGTTAAATATTTTTAAATTATACTCCATCCGTTTCACAAAGAGTATCATTCGACATTTTCACACTTATTAAGAAAACTATTAAAAATACTAATTTGTTCTTTATTAATGTATTAAATAACTTTTTTTCTTTAGTTAATACATTAAATCAATAAGGTCAAAACTGAAATATTGTTTAAAATTCTGTATTGAAAATATAAAACGACACTCTTTGTGAAACAAAAATAAAACTTTAAAACGACATTCTTTGTGAAACGAAGGGAGTAATTAAATAAACAAAAATGAAAATTAAATAATAGTCAATTAGCGACTTCATAAGACAGTAGTATAACACGCCTCATTCGAATGTCTACAAATTAATAATCAAATCTATGGCCACCTAGCGCCTAAACGTCGCCTAAGCGGTCGCCTGTACCGCTTTTTAGAGTGCTGTTTTTTACGCTTTTTCAAACAACGATTGTATATAATAATGGTAAAAGTAGCGAGAGATTCTAATAGCATGATCAAGTTAAAGCATTGCCTCGTTTGAAATTTTGGCATGGAGAAATAGCTTGGCTCCGGTTGGTCATTGTCCACCATGGGCTCCATACCATCCATGTCATAGCAGAGATCCTGACTTGCGAAAACTTTTACAACAATCTACACATAATGTAACAAGAAATATAAATGGTAATGGTAATTTATTATCAAACAAAAAATATATAAACGGTAATTGACAATTCATAATGATGCAAAAGGATGATGATCAATCACCTCATCAAAATTCAGAGGATCACAAGTCGACACAGCCTTGACAGTGGATATTCCAGGGCTCTTTGCCTGGATAACCCCATAGGATGACACAGCCACAACCGTCACGTCTGAGCTAAGCCACTTGTAGTCACCGGATGCGTTTGCACAACCTATATGGAACATCAGTTGATTAACATCTCATATCCTAATCGTGGTAATTTTTATCAAACAAAGGAACAAAAAAGGATGATTCATATACGTGCCTCCGGTCACAGTTAGCTTAATCTTGTGAGAAACATGAGGGGCCAACTGGAGTAAAATCCTAGGTTTCCTGTTCAATGGGAATCGGACTACCTCCTCTGGATTCTTAGGGGAAGCCAATTTAGAAGCTCCTCCTCCAAAAACAAAAAAGCAAAATGCCAAAAGAACACAAGCCGCCCTCATTCGAAACCCAAAGATACGCTTGATGTTCACTGTCACATATTGCCAGAAAGTCGTGGGAAAAAATATATATAATATGAATTCGAGCAGATATCTATTGACGTGATTCGTTTAAGACTATGAATTACTGAAAACGTATCTAAGGCATAGATCCATTCCTAAATCAGCAAAATTCTAACCGAGGAAGGATCGATATGGTGTCCAAGAAGATCAAATGAATAAGAGAAACGGAGAGACATTGTACCTCTTTATCAGAGAAACCAATTCGTTGCTTGCCTCAGATCTTCTGGTTTTCGAGATGGGTGATTTACCACTAACCTTAAGCGGCTCTCTTCATCATCGTGACTTTGTTCTGCTCGGATCAACAATCATTGGCTCTCGATAATCTGGTAGTATTAGTTGGTTTACAATCAATTTTTTCCATGGTTTGATTTAACTTTCTCCATGATATATAATATGAATTCGAGCGGATATCTATTGACGTGATTCGTTTAAGACTATGAATTACTGAAAACGTATCTAAGGCATAGATCCATTCCTAAATCAGCAAAATTGTAACCAAGGAAGGATCGAGGAAGATCAAATGAAATAAGAGAAACGGAGAGACATTGTACCTCTTTATCCAAAGATTTTCGGAAGAAGGAGAGAGAGAGATTTTGGGTCTCAGAGAAACCAATTCGTTGCTTGCCTCAGATCTTCTGGTTTTCTAGATGGGTGATTTACCACTATCACCACTAACCTTAAGCGGCTCTCTTCATCATCGTGACTTTGGCTTTGATTGGTAACAGTTTTGCGGAATCCATAATTGTGGAATGGGAAAAAACGAGTGCGTGGCTGAAAAGTCATGGGTCTAATAATTAATTTTTTTTTGAATTATTTTTATTAACTTAAACCCTGGAAATTATATCTTTTTCCTTATATGTCTTCATAATCACGAAAATACAATTTCATTCTAAAAAAACACAATTTCTTTTAATTCTTTAATTATCATTTTTTTTCTCTACTCATCTTCATCATCGTCGTTTCGACGATAGATTCTAAAAATCACCAAAATCATATCTTCATCATCCAAACTTTGTCTCTTCATTCTCTGTAATCAGTTTCTTATCTTTATCTCCTCTTCCAACCACAATTGTTGAAGCTTCAAACCTCAATTAGGTTTTTATTTAGAGATTTATGGATTTCACAATTTAGGGATTGAATTTGCCAAAATTGCTTGTTCGGTATGCAAATCGGGTTGGTTACCCATGATTAGGTCTTTGCATGGATAATTTATCGAATATAGTTGTTGAATCGTAGTGATTCTAGGTAGATTAGAATTAAAATCTGAGTTCATCACCAAATCTGCAGAGAAGAACAACTGGTACGAATGATACAACTAAGAGATAAGAGGACAACTAGTACAATTGGTACAACTATGAGATAGAAGACAACTGGTACAAATAAGTATAACTAAGACAACTTAAATAATTGCTGACTAAAAATTCTTTTATTATAATTGCAAATCGGGTTGGTAACCCAGTTTTATGTGACGATTAGGAATTTGCATGAATAATTTGTTAAATATAATCGTTGAATTGTAGGGATTCTTAGGTAAATTATAATTATACCTGAGTTCATCACCAAATCTGGAGAGGATGACAACTGGTACAAATGGTACAACTAAGAGATAAGAGGACAACTAGTACAATTGGTACAACTATGAGATAGAGGACAACTGGTACAAATAGGTATAACTAACACAACTTAAATAATTGCTGATTAAAAATTCTTTTATTATAATTGCAAATCGGGTTGGTAACCCAGTTTTATGTGACGATTAGGTATTTGCATGGATAATTTGTTAAATATAATCGTTGAATTGTAGTGATTCTTAGGTAAATTATAATTATACCTGAGTTCATCACCAAATCTGCAGAGGAGGATAACTGGTACAAATGGTACAACTAAGAGATAAGCGGACAACTAGTACAATTGGTACAACTATGAGATAGAGGAAAACTGGTACAAATAGGTATAACTAACACAACTTAAATAATTGCTGATTAAAAATTCTTTTATTATAATTGCAAATCGGGTTGGTAACCCAGTTTTATGTGACGATTAGGTATTTACATGGATAATTTGTTAAATATAATCGTTGAATTGTAGTGATTCTTAGGTAAATTAATTATACCTGAGTTCATCACCAAATCTGCAAAGGAGGACAACTGGTACGAATGGTACAACTAAGAGATAAGAAGACAATTAGTACAACTGATACAACTATGAGATAGAGGACACCTAGTACAAATGGATATAAGTCTACAACTAAGACACTTTGAATAATTGTTAATTAAGAATTGTTTACTATATTTTCAAGAAATAATGAGTATCAGCCACACAAGCAATTAAATAGATTTTATATCACTTAATACCTTATATTTGGAGCAGATAACTTATTCGGTATTACTAGATAAGATATTGTATGTAAGAAAATTGCGATATATAAAACAAAACAGTTTTGGAGTAGATAATTTATGTGGAGAATGAATTGCACATATAAATGAAACTAAGTGGAGTATTTCTGATAATATACAAGAATTTTTTGTCTTACTGCCGAATTACACCAAAAAAAAAATAATCAAAAAAGTGGTTTTTATTCTCCAAAAAAAAATCAAAAAGAGGTTTTATTTTAGCTAAGGAAATTACATTTTAGCCAAAGAATTTTCATTCTCGATAGCCACATTTTAGCAGAGAAAATCTTTCCCAAATAGGGATAAACAAAGTACAGTTAGACATATATATACAATTATCTATAACTCCTTAATCTAAAAACAAGTATCTATAACTCCTTAATCTAAAAACAAGGTACAACTGAATGAAAGATTCAACTTATTTCAGCCTTAGTGTGTACATGAGTATTTTGGAGTTATTTGTATTTTAAATTTCTTGGATTTCTTTGATTTTTTGCATTACTATTTATTTTGGAGTTATTTATATTTTGGATTTCTTTGATTTCTTGCATTACTATTTATTTGGAGTTATTTGTATTTTGAATTTCTCCAGGGCAACTAGGTGCAACTTGGGACAACTATATTTTAATTGTAGTGTTAAAAAATAAATTCCTAATATTATTTACTTAAAAGCCAATATAACACATACCCTAAAAACTGTATCTTTTCACGTCTATACTAGAAATAATAAAATAAAACTTTGTTTTGTTCAAATAACCAAATATCATTGGTTTCACTTGAAATAACCCTTATGTTATAAGGAAGTCTTTGACAATGTTATCCATCTTATGCAAGCATCTATGCCAAAATATAGGAAATAGAAAAATAATGACGCAAAACCCTTGGGGCTGCTATATAATGTTCGAAATTTTTGTGGACAACTAGAACATAATAATTTATGTCGAAGGACAACTGAAAAAACTACAAAATCGATCAAAAGACAACTATTACAAATTTTGGACAACTGGACAACTAGGTACAACTATGTTGTCAGTCGTAGACACACGTGCGCCGACAAAAAGGGACACATGTGCAGTCAAAGTACCACGTGCGCCGTCAATTTTATACATAGTTGTACTCAGTTGTCCAAAATTCTTCATAGTTGTCCTTTGACAACTTTAGTATTTTTTCTAGTTGTCCCTTGATATAAATTATTATTTTGTAGTTGTCTACATGATTTTTGACTATTGTAGTCCATTTACAACATTTTCATAAACAATTTATACAAAATCATAATTTTGGCTCTTTTTCATCATAAGATTGTTAATATTATCAAAGTCTTCTTTGTATCATAAGGGGTGTTGGATGTAAAACCAATAATATGTATTAGAAAAATGATAAATTTCATGTTATCCATCTTTTTAATTTTATTCCTTATAGTTTACAAATTTTTTACATTTTTTAAGTGAATGTTTGCTTTCTATATTTATAGTTTATCGCTATTATTTTCTAATGAAAAAATTGCATATAGTTGTACATATGTGTCCAATTGTATCTTGTTTATTTCCATCCAGAAAGTATTCTCCGCCAAAAATGAAATCCTCTAGATTAGATTGACTTACCTAAGTGTCACTATCCATCAAAATAACATGTGCACTTATGTGCGCCGTCAATTTTTGTACATAGTTGTACCTAATTGTACTAGTTGTCCTCCTCTGCAGATTTGAAGATGAACTCAGATATAATTATACTTTACCTAAGAATCACTACGATTCAACGACTATATTTAAGAAATTATTCATGCAAATACCTAATCGTCATATAAAACTAGGTTACCAACCCGATTTTCAATTATAATACTCCCTCCGTTTCATAATAAGTGTCGTTTTAGATTTCATTTTTTGTTTCAAAAAGAGTGTCATTCTGCATTTTCAATGTAACTTTTTACTCTTATTTCCTGTTTTATCCCTTATTTAATGATAATAATCTTTGTAATTAAATGTTATAAAAGTATATTAATTAGGGGTATATTTGTATATTTTATTAATTTGTTAATTTGTGTGAAATGTGTCAGAATGACACTTATTATGAAACGGAAGGAGTAAAAGAATTTTCAATCAGCAATTATTTAAGTTGTCTTAGTTATACCTATTTTTACCAGTTGTCCTCTATCTCATAGTTGTACCAATTGTACTAGTTGTCCTCTTATCTCTTAGTTGTACCATTCATACCAGTTGTCCTCTTCTGCAGATTTGGTGATGAACTCGGATTTTCTACCTAAGAATCACTACGATTCAACAACTATATTTGATAAATTATCTATGCAAAGACCTAATCATCACATAAACTAGGTTATCAACCCGATTTACACACCAAACAAGCAATTTTGAGAAATTCAATCCCTAAGTATTAAAATCCCCAAATCTCTAAACAAAAACCTAAATGGGTTTGAAACTTCAACAATGGTGGTGGAGAGAGGAGATAAAAACAATAAAGTGATTACAGAGGATGAAGAAGAGGAGGAGAGACAAGGGTTTGACGGCGAGAATGAGATTTGGTGGTTTTCAGAATCCATCAACAAAACGTTGACGAAGAAGAAGAAACAAAAAAAAAAAATTAAAAAATTATTTTTTAAATTAATTTCGTTTTAAATTATTAATTTCAATTCAAATAAAATCAATCACTTTTTTATTTAATTCAGGAATGCCACAAAAAATTTCATTAAGGGTAAAGTAGGAATTACATGTGTATTATGGCACAACAGATTAACTTTTTTCAATTTATGGCATTATAGCCATTAAACCGGAAAAAACATGTGGAATGAAATAAGTAACTTAAAGCTCATTCTTCTGTTTTTGTATTTTTGTTAAGCAAAAAACGAAAACTGCTTTTTAGTGTTTTATTTTTTATTCAGCAGAATTTTCGTGATAGGCAAAATATTTGCAGAATCGCATTTAAAAACGCATTTCCACAATTCTGCAGGTTACCAATAATTTGTTCTGTCAGATCAACAATTATTGTGGCTCTCGACTAATCTGGTAGTATTGGTTCTTTTGCAATCAATTCTTTCCAACCAACTTTCTGGTTTGATTTCAATTTTCTCGTTCAATTATATGAGTTTTCTGGTTTGTAATATTTTGGGCTTTCGATAAATTGGGCTTTTTTGGGTTTTGTAAGACTTTAATTTCTAAGGCAATAAGTGCGGTTAATAAATTCTACACTCAGAAATTTGTATATAGTTTTAGAAAAAAGAGATTCATAACAATGAGCCAGATTTGTCTTTGAATCGATTGAGTATAGAAATGCGTTAAAAAATTTGGATTTATATTAATAATATAGAAGATGAATACAATATTTTTCAAAGAAAAAGAGTATAAAA